ATTATGCTGGGGTTGTGGCTCAGCAGTAGAGTGCTCGCCTAGCATGTGCGAGGTCCTGGGTTCAATCCTCAGCACCACATAAACAAATAAAAAGAAATTTTAATAATTATAAAAATAAGTCAGATATGCAAAATCTAAAAGAGAAGGCAGATTATGATAAYATGAAAAAGCATCAAAAAAACAAAATGCTACAGAAATGGAGTTCAGAAAAAGGCAGACTCCTCCTGATATAGACGACTAGGCCACCTCTGTGAAGGAAGGCACACCTGAAGAAGCAGGCTTGCAAGGCATGTAGAAGGGGGTACTGGTGTAGGAATGGAGACAAGTGGTTCCTGCAAGTCGAGAAACTTCTCACTATAGGCACAAGAGCAGGAAAGAGTGAAAAGCTCTTGGAAAATAGCAGGCAGTTTCCTGGACCAATGGCAAAGGAGAAATGGGCAAGAAGACTGTAAAGGTTACTTGAAAAAATCCCAGGGCCTCAAAGACCAAGGCAAAGAGTCAGGAATTAATGTTATAAGCAAAGAGATTCAGTGAAAGGTTGTGTGTAATGAATCCATCTTCTTAGACCTGAACTTCAGGAAGAACAATTCAGAGGTGGTTTTTAACAGGAGAAAGCAACTAGAGGCAGGAAGAGAAAAACAGCCTGCTATTTCAATAACTTGCAGGAGTTAAGGAGGGCCTGGACTAGGGCAGGAAGACCGGAAGAGGTGGTGGGGCAGGCACAGGCTCTGTGATTGGGGAGTCAGCTGCAAAGATGAACCGGTCAGGCAAGAGGCAAAAATATACAAGAAAATTTTAGAAAAGTCTTAAAGTCAGTTCAGTGTTCAATCACAGAGCTTATGATTATTATGATGATGCTCATGATGATGATCATTATGATTATTTGCATCTTGAAGGAAAAGAGTGAATTTTCCTTTTTTTCTGATAATTTTTCATACAACTGTACACAGGCAAGCATTCCTACCATTTCATCTAGTGCAGATATTGAATGATAAAGTGACCTTTAGCAGACAGCTATTCAAGATCCATTCTGTTAGAATTAAATCTGAATTTCTAAAATTAATTTTACCCTTTCTGTGTTTAATCCTCAACTTCCTCCTCTGTCACTGGCCAATGAGCCCGGCAGCAGGATTTATTTTTACTTATTGCTTCTTCAGTTTCCGTTAGCTGACTCTTTTTTTTCAACATTTGGATATAAAGGAATTATACTTCTAAATGTATCAAAATGTAAGGACTGTTACATTAAAATGATCCTCAAGGGCTATTTGAAGCTGAGACTGTAATTATTCATCCCTGCTTCTCTCATATTTGACCCACCTATTGATGCTCAAACTTCCAAATATAGTCAAAATCCAACCATTCCTTTTGCAACCACCCCACTACCCACCCCCCATGGAATCACTGCCATCTTTCACTGTAGATTATTACACACCCTCCCCGGGTCCTTTTAAAATGGAAATTATCACATCCTCTATGGAACCCTCCAAAGGCTCCCTAAACAACTCCAACAGAACATGGAAGCCCTTCACTAGCCCACAGGCCCCCTACAGTGTGGCCACCTCCACCCTCTGACCTGGTTTACCCTGCTCCTGCCACACTGGCCTCCTTGCATGTCTTTGTACCAAGAGACCTTGATTCTGACACGTTTGCTTGGGAAACTCCCTCCCCACAGAGCCCCTGAGCCAATTCCCAAAGTGCCTTTCAAGATTTCTGCTCCAATCTAAGCTCTCAATGGGGACATCCTGGACACCTGTTCATTGTCACAACCCAGCCTCTACCCCCAGGATTCCCAATCTCCTCACTCTCCCTCTCTAGTGCCACTGACAGTGCACAAGTTTGCTTCATATGTTGACTGTTGACAATTCATCTCCCTCCACTACGAGTGTGGCTCCATGCAGAATGTGAACCATTACCTGCTTTATTCACTGATGTGCCCCAAGTAGCAAGAAAAGGGGTCCACAATACTCCAGGAACCCCTCTTAAATGAATGAATGAGCAGAAAAGGACAGATAAGTTTATCAGGTAACACTTTTTAAAAATTAAAAAAAAATACATGGAGGAGATTTTTCGTGATGCTTATAGCTCTTAAATCACTTTGTAACTTAGAAAATCGGGCTTGTAACGTGAATGAAGCTTTTCTTGCTCTCTTATAAATTTCAAGAATCCTGGATAATTATTTCTACAAATAATCTTTTAAGGTGAAACTTACAGATCCCCATCTATTTTGTTTTGGGGTTTTTTTGTTTTTGTTTTTGTTGGGGGGTGGGGAGCCTGGGATTAAATTCAGGGGCACTCCCCCACTGAGCCACATCCCCAGCTCTATTTTTTGCACTTTATTTAGAGACAGGGTCTCACTGAGTTTAGTGCCTCACCATTGCTGAGGCTGGCTTTTTTTTTTTATTATTATTTTTTTTATTGGTTGTTCACAACATTACAAAGCTCATGACATATCATATTTCATACATTAGATTGAAGTGGGTTATGAACTCCCAATTTTACCCCAAATGCAGATTGCAGAATCACGTCAGTTACACATCCACAATTTTACATAATGCCCAATTAGTAATTGTTGTATTCTGCTACTTTTCCTAGGCTGGCTTTGAACGAGTGATCCTCCTACCTCAGCATCCCAAGCTGCTGGGATTACAGTGTGCGCCACCGCACCCAGCCCCCATCTATTTTGAGCCTTTTAATAAGTCTGTGGAAAAAATAACCCATTTCTAATTCCTTTGAGGATAAACAGGGTCCTTCCCACTCTCAATCCTGTAAAGCCTGCTCACAATGAAGGAACATGAACCAAACCTCCTCTTCACGACAGGARCATCCCTAAATGTCTTCATTCCCTTATGGAATGTCATTCAGCTCGTTAGGAACAGAAGCCCAAACTGGTTTGGTGTTCAAGTTTCACTGCTTTTCTTTACAACTATTAGAATGGATGTACATTGAATTGATTCCTTTCAAGACTTAAAATTTTTTAGATGATTTTCATTAATAATAATATTTAATAATATTAATTATTTAATATTAATAATAGTTGAGTTCATCATCATGAAATGAAAATCCATTACCCAAAATACTTTCTAAAGCAAGAACTTAGAAAAAAATTATTTTTCACCCTAGGCTTGTATATCCAATTCATGGTTAACCTATATAATTTCCAGCCAAACAATACCTAGTTTCATGCACTAGATAAAAGTTACCAGGATTTCTTAAACTTCATCTGTTTACATTTTTAAAAGCTCAATATTATTTTAACTAAGTGCCTTGCTTGTCTGTTTTTCAAAACAAGAGAAAACAAAAACATAATCTGCCTGGAAAATATGTGAGCAGGAGGAACATTCTGTTACTAAGGGGAAAAAAATCTGATTATTCAACATTTGTCTGACTATTTTCCAATATATTTCTTGAGAAAATGTTAGCCTTAATGGAATGTCAAAAACTGATCAACTTAGAAGATATTAGGAAATAACATTTGATGGATGACTCAGAAAATTGTAAAGAATCTTGAAAGTTTAACAGCCTGGTTCACTGCTCTCATAAGCATCCCTTCATTTATCTGTTACCAGACAAGCCCTCCATGAGCTTTGGCTCTGTGGATGGACAAGCACAACAGGACAGTGGAAAGAGCATTCACTCCCCAGCCAGAATAGCCTCGATTCCCCAACAGGCGCTGTCCGATGGGGGGTCTGGCCCTGCCACTCAACACCTCTGAACCTGTTTCCTAACCATAAGACAATCTACTTCCTCATGGCCTCAGCAGAAGAAAGCATTTCTTAATCCAGGAAAAAAATACATTAACCAAATGGAAGCAATGGACAAATCTGGCACATTAATGTCAAGAACATCTATTTATAAAAAGAAAGTATGAAAGAGTTTAAAGAGTTAACAAGTGAAACTTGATCATTTTTAGCTGACAAATATATATTTTATTTGACATATAATGCACATGACTAGTATATATAATACTAATATATATAATAATAAATTTTCTAAGAAATGCTATAAATTAAACATAAAAAGAGGAACAGGAGGAGGAGGAGGCAGCAGCAACTTAAAATACCCAGAGGCTTAACAGACACTTTGCAAAAGAGAAAATCCAAATGGCCAATAAATATAAAAGATGTCATTTGAACAGTATTAAACACATAATGATGCCATTAATCATCAGTAAAATGCAAATTAAATAATGCTACTTCTCAAAGTTGTTAGAAGATTAAATGATCATATATTTAGGGCATTTATATAAGTCCTAGTACATAGAAGATATTAAAAAAAAAAAGCCTACTGAGGCTGTAGCTCAGTGGTACATCTTGTGCATAGCATGCATGAGGACCTGGGTTGAACCACACACATACAGGAAAAAATCAAATTAATCAAATAAATAAAAAACTTAAATCTACTTCCACAGGAATCCTTCTCTGACCCTTTCTAAGGGATTATCCATCCAAATATGAAGCAATTCTCTAGTCTTACTACCTGTAAATAATACCAACACATACAAAGCCTAGAATCAAATTTGGATTGCTCTCTACTGAATCGCAAAATTATTCCACACACAATCTTAATGCAATAACCCCACTCTTGACTTCCTATTTTTCTGACTCTACTTTTCTTTTTATGCTATTTTTTTATCCTCTTTAAATTCATTTTGCATTCTTATATTACAGGCACCTAGGTAAGGTGCTTTAAATTCTTTCTGAGGACAAACAGGGTATTAAAAAACATTGCAAAGCAAGTCTTTCCAAGTATTGGATTACTACTTGGACACCCTTTGCCCTTCCATGAATCCTGTGAGCTGGATACTTCTGTGCGACCTGCACAGATGCAGGTCTAACATGTTTGTTAGATCAGTGAGTAGCTCTAGAGAAGGCTCAGAGTCAGCACCTTGAGAACCCACTTGCTCTTTGGCAGATACCTTAATTTAGCCTGTTCAAAAAATTGTATCAGGCAAAGAAGTTTCTACCTACTTGGAAGGAAAGACTGACCAACAGACCACTGGCGTCTGCACCTACCAAAGGAGAGGAAGTGGCAGAGTGAGGGGGCGGAGTCTCCGTGGCTATATCAGGATCCTCCTGCTCACTTTCACTGTAGCATTCTGTAACAAAAACGAAAACACTTCATGTTTAAATGCTGCCATCATTTATTCCATAATGTATGAGCATAGGCTTTTCTCCATCTAGCTAGTGCAATTTCAATCCAATTCAGAAAAAAAAAAAAAAAAATCTAGTGAAATACTTGGTACAAAGGAATTACTGAAGATGGAGAAACAAATGGCCCCTCTGGGTTTCTGCTCTCCAAGAACATCCCACAGGCATAAAGAGGACCAACCAGAGCTCAGGGAAAATAAAAGAACTCCTCAAAGAAAGCATTCATACACTAGGAAGAAGGTCAATGGGGAAATGTTTGATGATAGGAAACGTCATGAATTGAGTGWGCTGAAGCTGGCTGGGCACCCAAGCCATCAGGAGTGGGCCAACAGGGAAGGGGAAAACAGCCAAGTCAGTGGGGAGAACGGGATATACAGAGACCCCCCCAAGGCACACTGAAAATGAAGCTTTTGAAAGTTTGGCGGACAAGATCTTATTTGATGAGATCGTATTGGACTCCTTCATGGCTTTAAGTCATTTTGCCACTGTTCCCTTTCTAAATTTAAGATTGTAAAAATTTGTTATCAAAAAATAAAACTCCCTATTTCCAAGTCYTCAGTCTAGAATTGACTCTGGATGTGGTTTGAGCATTTTGGGGACAGTGTCAGTTCCGTGGCCCTGGCAGCCCGCAAAGCCGCCCTCTTCTGCACAGCAAGGAGTAATTGCATCAGGAAGAATTAGACTCCCTCAGCTTTTGAACCCTGAGAGCTACAGAGTATGCTAAAAATATGGCCTGTGTCCCAATCTGACCTTCAGGTTCCCAGTACAATCTTGGGGTAATCACTCTCAGCACACACCTGGCGGAAATGTTAAAATATCAGAGAGGAAACAGTGGGATGAAAGTTATCTGCCTAGATCATGACAAGTTCAAGGGTATGAGTAAGAATTCAGTTAAGTAGAGCAATAAAACATTTGCATTGGCAATTGCCTGAGATATCAGTGAAGCCTACAGCTGCTCAAGTGTGGGTGAAGTGTGAAATCATTCAGAGCCGGCCCGGGAAGCTCTCGTCTCTGTTGGTGAGTCTGTGTGAATGTGTCTGTCTCTACACTCAGATCATTTCAAATGCCAAACTGTTTCCTCAGGATCAGACTATATATAGAATTTGATATTGTTTTTCTCATCTTAGTCTAATTCTCTGGCTACTTTTTCAGAACTTTAGAATGGAATATACCTTCATCCTTTGTAGTGGATTCAAGATGGATCACAGCTATTCCGAGTTTATTTAACCACCTGGGATTCAAATAGAAAGTACATGTTAGACCAAAGAGATTGGTCCCCTTCCCTCACACCTTCCCCCTTAGACCACCTGAGGGAGGGTCTTGTGCCAGACTCCATCATGAAAGTCAGTCCTGATTCAACTGTCAGCCTGAATATTTCAAGAATCAGCATAAGTTTAGGGCATCAAAACAGAAGGCCTCTGCTGAACATGAATGGTGCATGCCTAGCAGTTCGGGAGGCTGAGGCAGGAGGCCAACAAGTTCAAGGCTAGCCTCAGTAACTTCGCAAGACACTAAGCAACACAGTGAGGTCCTGCCGCTGAATAAAATATAAAAAAGGCTGGGGATGTGGCTCAGTGGTTAAGCACCTCTGGGTTCCATTCCCAGTACCAAAAAACAAAATAAAATAAGGCCTCTAGTTTCATACTTTCCTTTCAGGGTATGCTCTGTGAGATAAGCAAGCTGGCCCTCATGCAGCTGGTTAAGGCAGGCAGCTAAATTAGGTATTCTAAATACATAAACAAAAATACATTAAAAAATACAAATTATGCACTTGAAAATTTTAGTAACCATCAAAAAATTTACCATTGAATGTAGAAACTTGTTCACTAAAGCTATATCTATCACTTTTAATGATGTCAATTTATTTTAGAAAATATAAAGACCATCGATTTAAAACCAGGAATATTACCACATCAATCAGTAAAAGATCTGCCCCCAAGACTGAAAGTTATTTCTAAATTGGGGAAATCCATTCCTTGAAAAATTTTATTTAAAATAAAAATTGACCATCTTCTCTATTCTATTGATTTCTCATCTTATTGACAATAAAGTCCAATTAAACTTCAATAACAAAATTAGTACTACTAGGCAAACCCTAAGGAACTCATACTTGGTTTATAATTTGAGGCCATAGTAGTTCCTTCTTAAGATTTTTGCTATGAATTCACTTTAAAACACGAATTTTAAAAGATAAGAGACGCAATGGGTCTATTTCATAAATTCTAGTTATGTAATGTTATGCTTAAAGGAAAAATGTGGCTTGGAGGCAGTGACTATCCAGGTGATTTATTTCTACTTTTCTGTGTGTTTTAAAATATTCATACTGTGTATTCTATTTTTTTTTTTGAGAAATGATCATTTCACAGTGACCTAAGTCAATCAATATGAATAAAATAACACCAACAGTGCTCTATATCTCTGGATTCATGTTCACTTTCATTGCTTCTAGTCCTACAACGCCTCATGCCTCACTCAGCACCCTGCACTCACACCGTGGTCCACAGATTGCACACTCTGACCCATAACTGTCAACTATTTAGAAATCCTTACCTGATCATCGGCCAGCAATGACCTGACTATATTCATTATTTTTTAACAGAAAAAAATTAAAAATTTAATTTTCAAATTATATAAAACAGGAGTTCTACAAGAAAAAAAGATGAGCACAAAATGACCAAGACTGGACCAATATCAGAGCCCAGACCCTGCCATAGAAACCCCAAAATGTTGATCAAATCCCAGTAGAGAACTATGCAAAGCAAACGATCAGAAAACATCACAGAAAAAAAAAAACTCAATACATAAATGGAAAAGTTATCCAGCTTCAAGAGCATTTTAGAAAATCCATAGCTAAACACAGGAAAATATATTCACTACTGGATTAGAAAAGTTAAAAAATATTGATTTCTAGGGCTGGTGTTGTGGCCCAGGGGAAAGCATTCACTTAGCACGTGTGAGGCCCTTGGTTTGATCCTCAGCACCACATAAAAATAAATAAAATAAAGATATTGTGTCCAGCTACAACTAAAAAATAAAATTTAAAAAAAGAAAAAATATTGATTTCTAGTGCTTAGGAGAAAATGGAACAATGGACATTCTCATCCATTGTTGGATTAAACATGAAAATCAATATAGCCGATTTTGAGTAGGCAATTTGATGTTATTATTCAAATTTTAAATATCCACACTTTTGTCCAAAAATGTCTATTTTATACCTTAAAACATATCTTCATGTACAGAAACATGGGAAAATGTTAACTGCCTATGAGGCTTATAATAGCAGAAAGAGAAAAACATTGAGACAATATAATTGTCCGCTAAAAATAAAATGGATACATAAATTATGACACTGATTTTACTGACACCATGTTATGATGAAGCTACTAAAAGACTAAGGGGATAGCTTATAATAACCTGGAAAATCCCAACATATGATTCATTGAAAAGACCAAGTATCAAATATGTTTAGCTGTTCTAATGTATTTTTAAAATTATATATTTGTATAAGTGCATGAATTGCTATGATAGAAAAGTGTCAGGAAGGATATACATCATGTTATTAAAAGTGGTTAACCCCAGGCATTGTTTGATTTTTTTACAAGAATGTTTTATATATTACTGAAGTACAAGTAATAGTAGTTACTATTAAAGATTACATCTTAAAAACTTTTTAAATTTATTTTTTGGTGTAGATGGACACAACACAATGCATTTATTTTTATGTGGTGCTGAGGATTGAACCCAGGTCCCACCCATGCTAGGTGAGTGCTCTACTACCGCTGAGCCACAATCCCAGCCCAACATCTTAAAAAACTTGATGAGGCAAAACACAACAAATTTCATTCACTATTTAAAATACTATAATAACCATTTATTGCCCCCCTCAAAAAAAAGCATTTAAAAGTGAAATAGACAATTTTTTAAAAAAAAGTAAAAAGAAAATAGTTTAGAATTGAGGGTGCCTGAAATAAGAGAATGCATTTCTAAGCCTCTATCCAAAACATGAAAATATTGCAAAGTGGAAGAGTATTGACTAAAGATTCCTTTCCACATTCACCCAAAACTTCATGCACTTTTCCTTGCCACCATTAGTTAGCTGCTGCAATGATTAGTGATTGTTCAGAACCCGAGTGAGAGTTGTCTTTCTAGAACCCATTGGCTTAGAGCACCTCCTTTGCTGGGAATTTTCTATAACCTTATGGTAGTACAAAAACGTCTGTGGCTAAATAGATGCACAAAGGGACTTATATTTACACAAAAGAAGATGGCAGGTGTCTCCTGAGAGTTTGTTGTCTATGAACTTGATGAGAATGTACGAGTTGGAGCACAAGTATTAGGAAATTGATGCAAAAAACAAGAGCGTTCTTCCCACAAACACCATCTAGAAAGCATCAATCTCCTGTCTTTGCCTAGAAACCAGCTCTTTCATTACCCTTAATTACTTACCCAGTACTTGTAAATTGAGGGTCGCTGCAGAACATGAGAAGATTCTATTAAACTTAATTACCTTTCCTTTCATCGCCCTTGAGAGAAATGTTACTACCCAGAAATACAGTTACCCAGGAGATGAACATCTGCACCAGAGCCCATCTCTGCCATGCCACCTCCTCTCTCCCTCACATCTCTGCATCTCACCAGAAACATTACGGACTGGTGTAAACAGACTGCATCAACAGAAGGGAAGATCTTCAGGTGGTAGAAAAAAGTTAACGTGGTAGCCTAGAGATTCTGCTTTATTGGCTATTAAAAAAAATCATCTTCAGAATAATAAAATTCCATAACACTACTCATACTTTATTTACATATACTCATTACATATAAAGAAATCATGATATAGTCAGGCATAGACAAAATAGGCCATGTACCCATGAGTGACCAGATGAGTAATTTTGAAGCATAAATGTCACTACAGAGATTCAGAAACAGGGAATCAAGACACCCTAATTTCAAATTTCAATGTATATCTTGCTTGTAAGTTAGAAAGAGGAACACTAAGAAATTTTCAAATAAAATAACAGCTCTCCGCAACATAGATGAGCAGTAAGACCTTGGCATGATAACTGTGACAAGTTTTGATTTAACAGCCAACACACTGAGTATATGTACACATTACTACACATGCAAATGAGTTGCCATTCAATAAATATCTGCAAATGGAGCACAAAAACATAGAAGACCAAATGGATATGTACAGGAAAATCAGATCGTTGGTGGGGTAGGGAGGCAGGAGGCTAAATAACTGTGATATGTGATTCAAAGAGCTAATTATAATCTGAAATCTGATGGATTGAGTGAAGGCACTAAGGGTCTTGCCTCTTATTAGTTGAAGAATGTATTTGACTGGGTTGGAGGAAAAATTCAGTAGCTGACAAAACATTTAGAAGGGATTGTTTCTCTGAGAAGCTCAGTCTCACTGACACCTTACTGGGGAAAACAGAAGTACCCTGAAAGAATCAGACCCAGGAGGGGTGGGAAAGACGATGAGAGGGAAGGGTCTAGAGATACAAGAACCTATAGAGGGGAGAAGCCAAGGACAGCAGGAGGCCACTGTGAGTGGGTGGCAGGCAGCACAGTCTCACTACCAGTAAAGACCACTGAGAGTTCATTGGTGGCTCAGCAAGACTGGCACTCACCATTACAGGTACCAAGCATCTCAGGCTAGACCTTGTGCCTTGACCTACACCTTACAGAGCAAGGGCTGGCTTGCCAAAGGACCGGCTCACAGTACAAATGAAAAGATAAGAATAGAACTTTGTGAAATGCTAAATTTCCTCTCCTTTTGTGTATCTGCTCTTAATTTTTCTCAGATGCTTGAAAAAGACCATGGAAAAAAGCTAAAATCAAAAAGGGGAGAAACTTTTGTCCTTAACTAAGTCGGCCAAGGACATGTTTGGAAGACAGTTGTCAAAGCCATGCCTCATTATGCCGAACACAGGATTTCCCAACTACCTGTGAGTCATTGTGCCCTCAACTGAAGGGACACGGCAGGGAGGTAAGAGTAGGGGGCAAGCACCAATGCTCCTAGCTAGACAGGGCTATAAAGAGAGACGTGTGTGTCTGAGGGTGGGGAGGGGGAGATGAAAGCTAGATATTATTTCTTTAAGTTTCTAAGATGAGACGGCAAAGAAAAATTTTGTACATAAGATACAGATAAGTAAGGATTTTATTAGGTACAAATAAAACAGGTTTTCAGCATAAGCTCTATGAATGGAGGAGCTGAGTGTGTGTGTTTATTGCTACCACCCATCATCTGCTACCGTGGGGCACACAGTGTTGTGTTTCATAAACATATTTTAATTGGTGAGGTGAAGGTAATAAGAGACACTGGGAATTATGGGAAGACGGCTAAAATTAAATGGAACACCCCAAGTCAGCCCCTGAGATACAGCCTCATTCAAACAGCAGCCATCGTCATGTGCCTTAATCTAAACCAGGAGGGGACAGAGGGCCTTAAAGCACATTTATTTAAACAGACCAAACAGGAAATGAAGCTCTGGATGTAAAATTTTTAAATGATAGACGCTCTCAGCAAGGACATTTTACAAAATGTTCAGAATGATGCATGAAGAAGTGATAAATCGTGAATCACCATGGTATTCACACAGCACATATCAAATGCAGTAGAGAGGGAGTTTCACATGTGGAAAGCTACAAAATCAGTCACAAAAAACCTTTAAGTTTTTCTCCTTGTAATGCTGATTCTCACTTTAATATGTTCTCACCATGACTTCCGTCTACTCTTTCCTCAACCTAGTGATGCCCTCAGAACAGTCTTACCACTTCTTCCCTAAAGTAGCCATTCGGATATGTGTGGTCCTTCAAAATGCTTCTGAACATAGAAGTCAGTAAGAAGACTTTATAACTGCTAAGGAAATTAATTCTTAAATAACAGAAAGAAACAAAACAATAATTAATACAAACATAGGCTACAAATTCCAAGGCCTGGCCAAGGCAAGTCTGTTCCATTAAGGACTGGATTTAGCAAGCTCTTCTACTTACACGTTCATTTCCTGCAAATTCTCAGCTGCAAAATAGAAGGTCTTGATCTGTGGATGGTTGATCTTAAATGCACTTGAGAAGGGAAAAACACAAACATACAAGAATTAGTACTTGCATTTATCAGTGGGTCTGTAAGTAAGTAAAATACAAATCAAATACAACAGTCATCTTAAATAACTGCTTTCTTTATAAGTTTACCCCCAAAAAATTATTCGATTAAATACCTATTGACTAGTCCTTATTTTAGTTAGGGTGCTGATGGTCAATTTCCATGTCAAGGCTGCGTCTTAGTGTTAGTTTCCATTTAAAACATAAGGGCATAACCTTTTGTTTCCACTTGCTAACTGCTTTACGATAAGGATACAGTAAGTTAGAATTTAGATTCACAGAGGTGTCAAATACTCATTTCAAGGCCTTCACATTAAGCATTGATTCAAATTCAATCAAATCTACAGCAAAATTTTATTTACAGGAAAATAATCAGATATGGAACCTCCACACACAACAAGTCCTCAGAAACCTTATCTAAGGCACCGTTCATTATTAAAGGGAACATGGGAAGTGGATTTGGGTTTAAAGAAGACATATGAAACATTGAAGATAACAAACAATAAAGTGTTTCCCCTTTACCATTTAGACCGGAAGTMCTGCAGAACAGGACATTTTTTTTTAAAGACCCACTCAAAAACCACAGTCATCAACACACTGCATGTATCACGAAACACGCTGCTAGGCCAGAATGTCAAAGACTTAGAACCAACACTGGTTTATTAATTTCTTAGGAGAAAACAACAAATTACTGCAACTAGTAACAGATGAACGAGGAAATGCCCCTTTCTGATAAGACTGGAAAAGATGCCAAAGGTAGAAGACAGGATAGGAGAGGTGCAAGAAGACGGAAAGAGCAAACTACATCAGGAGCTCTCATGGGAGGGCACTTGACTAAGAGGCTGAGGACCAGAGTCAGAGCCAGCTCTGCCCAGAGCCCTGGGCGGGTCACACAGACTCTCCAGGCTGTTCCCTCCTTAGGAGACAAGCACTGTGAGCAGGGGACTGCTCTATTTCTGCCAGTTATCAAATCTCTGGGACGTAAACTACATCAGGGTTCAATCCCAAGTTTAAGACGTCTCAGAGAGTTCACTTCCAGGGTGCTACATGAGCAAGGAGATTCTGGTCCACCATGATGCCTTCAATGTCATCCGGTGAGACTCCTTCACCATCTGTTCTTCTCTTTACAAGGTCAAAACCTTGACATTTGACCTTGCCAGCCCCAGGTGGGGGCACACTTTTCTCTCCACTGCACACTCAGTTATCAACGACATTCTCTGCCAAGACTTCATGGGGGTTTGAAAACCCATCTGCTCCACAAAATGCAATGCCAGGAAGCAAGAGGTTAAAGATTTCTCTGAGTGTCCAGGGTGCCAACCCATGATGCTCAAAATTCTCAGACATCTAAGCGTTGCCTTCACTCACTTCCAAATCACCACATCACCTGGTGGACTTAAAAACAGTTATTATCCCAGCTCAGGGTTTTGTGGAGGGTAAGAGACGACTTACTGCTTTTTCTTGCATTCAGATGCTCTTTCCACGGTGAAATCGGGCAGGTTCACAAATCCATCAGCTCTCTCTGCCTGAAACAAACACATGCCACAAACAGAAATAGATACATCAGCYGGAGGGATTCATCTACTGAGATCACCTACACGGAATAGAGATCATTTAAATGAAGTGAGGTAGAATCCAATGGACCTCCTCAAACCCAGCATTAATTAACTATGAGCTTATCCCAGATACACTGTTCATAAGGAAATTAATTTCTCATCATTAGTCACCCAGAATCATTTTGTGACAGGAACTGTGACATGCTCAGGGATGGTCAATGTGTGTCAGGCGCAGAGACTCCCTGTCTTGGGGGAGCCCACAAAGCCCACCACCAGAGTCCTACTTCCTGCTGGGCAYAGGCACCCTCAGCCTACCATTAGCACCCTGACTTTGGAGTTAGCACATCTACATTCCTCCCATGGATCTATCTCTAGGTGGTTGTTATGGCTTTAATGAGCCCAGATAAATAAAACACTTAGCAGACAAACAAACATTATTCCCTCTCTGGAGACTGAAAGCAGTGTTTGGAGAATAAAGCCCAGAGCCACATCCTGCAGAATCTCAGTTCCATAATCGATTCCTATAAAGGAAAGATTTCAGGGGGGGAAATGATGGTTCTGAGGAYATAGCATCAATGTTGCTGTAAATCATCAAAAATTTCACAGGACATGTAATTATGCTWCCTCTCTATGAATTCATTAATCTATATTTTGTGAAGAACTATTTAACTGAGCCACAAGGAAGCCAGACTGTCATAAATGAATGCAAATCTCTTTTTATCTACACTGATGTCTCTGAGTGGAGAAATTCAGTCCATAAGATTAAACATGGATGAGTCAGTGGTTATGGGACTATGAGTAAAAGTTGATTTGGAAAATACTACCTTAATTTTAAAAGTCAGCTAGCTATTCAATTAGTGCCATGGGTGCTCTCAGTTCACCTCCTTGTTCATCTCTTTTTCTTACTAACAACTAGAGGGCAACTTGCACTCTTTTCTTCAGAAACATTAAACTATGAGACAKTCAACCTTATTCCCATCATCTGTCTCCTTTACGACTTAGTTTATTCCATTCTTCACCTACAATGGCTTCTTCTTATAAAAATAAAAACTCAATTTTAATGAGTACATCTTCCTTTAAATATATATACATGTGCCTATACTGAATGAATATATATTCAAATATATATATATATGTTTGCATATATTTGCACCTTATCTCTTGATGGGCTGCTTAATTACCACATGGTGGTTTCACCAATACTGTCTGAAAGGGAATAATAAAGTATGCAAAGAGCTTAGACTGTTTAAGTCACTTTTGTACAATTCACAATGYCTCTTGTGGATTCTCCACTAGCAGTATATAAAAATGTAGTCCTGAAAAACTGGTTTGTTCTATCAATTCGAGTTCTAGAGATACACTCAAAGGAAGCAAAAATGGGGATTCAAATAAATGAACAGACATGTGTGGTCATGGGAATGATATTCACAACCAGCCAGTGCTCATCAATAGATGATGGATAAACAAGTCAAACTATATCCATATAAARGAATATTATTCAACCCGTGAAAAATAATTAAGTACCAATAAATGCCACATAAATGAACCTTGAATATATTATGTTAGGTAAAAGAAATCAGACACAGAATGTACCAGATTACATGATTCCATGTATTTGGAATAGGAAATTCATAAAGACAGAGTACAGCTTGATAGTTCCCAGGCACTGGGGCAGTGAGGTATGGGGAGCAACTGCTAAAAGACTATGGATTCTCCTTTTTGTGTGATTTAAAATAGTTTGGAACTARATAGAGGAGGTGGTTCCACACCATTGTGAATGCACTGAATCATTTACTTTAAAATAGTAATCGTATATGATTTCCTTCTCAATGAAAAAAAAATCAATGCTAATGTATTCTTATGAAAAATTCCCATAACTGATTTAGAATGAAAAAATTATTTATCCTCACCATTTGTTTTGACTTCCTCTCCCATTCAATACTATGCTCATTGTTAAAAAAAAAAAAAAAAAAAAAAAAAAAACTATAGAAACTATGGACCTCAATGCTTTCCAAGTCACTGAGTCCCATCCACCACTTTGGCTCCTACTGAACTCTGAGACCTGACACTATAGCCCGTCCCCTCCCTCTGCAATGCCCTGCCACCTTGGCTTTTCTGACAACATATTACCACTGCCTCCTTTTGCTCGAAATAGATCTTTCCTTCCTCACTTCCATGCCTATTTTTAAATCTCAAGGTTCCCCAGGGTTCGCTCCACACACCTGTACTCTTCTTGTTCCAGTGCTCCCTGGGGTGGGCAGTGCTCCCTGGGGTGATCAGTGCTCCCCCGTGCCTTCAGGTATCATCACTGTACACACATATCCAAAATCTTGTCTTCAAATTCAATTCAGCCCTTGGCGCTCCTGTCTCAGATTTCCACTGCCTGGTCACRTGGATATTCCATGAGCCCCCCAAGAGTGACCAATCCAAAACCAAAGCCATCGTGCTATTCCACAAAACGCCCACCGCTCTTTCTCCTGTGCTCTCTTACTCAGTGAGCAACACCACTTCCGTCCAGACGCAAGAGAGAGAAGGAAATCTGGGAGACATTCACGATTCTTCCAACCAGACCAGCTCTGGTCTGAATACTGCTGGTCCCCACCAACACTCACGTTAAAGCTCAATCCCCATGGTGGAATGGTCGGAGGTGACTAGGTCATTAACAGAAATTAACATTTTTTTTTTTTAATGGGAGTGATCCTCATTTTCTTGGAACTGTACAGGTGGATGTGAGAGTGAGCTGTTAAAAAGGAAAGCCAGCCTGCAGGCTTGACCCCTTTAGCACCCACAYATCCCCTTTCCACTTTTCTGCCGTGAATTGAGTAGCCAGTGGCCCTCACCAGGAGCTGAACAGATGCCAGCACCATTCTCTTGTACCTCCAGTTCTGACCAAACCTCTTTTCTTCATGCATTCCCCGGCCTCTGGAAGTTTGTTATAGAAATTGGACTAAGGCAATTCACTTCTCAGAATCCAGGTATGAAAAAAACAGTATTCCACTGCTTCAAACAACACAAATCTGAATCATTGCTTTCTCTGTCACAGATTGTTAATCGATCTACTACCTCCTACCTCCCTCAGATCACCATTAACTTTTTCTTGAATTACTGCAAAAGTCTCCTATTCTTCTTCCTAATTCTCTTCTCCTATTCAATTTGGTGTCCAAATCACAGTCACAGGGAATCTATACCATGAACATTTTTTTTTTTTTTTTGGTACTGGGGATTGAACTCAGGAGCACTCAGCGGCTGAACCCCATCCCCCTATTTTGTATTTTACTTAAAGACAGGGTCTCACTGGGTTGCTGAGTGTCTTGCCACTGCTGAGGCTGGCTTTGAACACGTGATCCTCTTGCCTCAATCTCCAGAGCCGCTGGGATTGCAGGCATGTGCCACCGTTCCCGGCTCACCTCATGAACATTCTTCACGTCACTTCTCTAATTAAAACTCTGCATGGTTCCCAATTTCCCTCAGATAAAGTCTGTCTTAGCAGAGGCCTTTTATGTTAATCCCTTATTGTTCTACAATTTCATCTTCTCCAATGTTCCTACCCTCGGTTCATCAAAAGCAAACAGAAAAAATAAAACAAACGAACCACAATACTTCCATGGAGCTGAATTAGAAGTGACACCCAAGTTGTGGCATGATCAGTCTCTGAACAATTTTTCTTCCGTACAACAAGCCCATCTCAAATGACAATTTCGATCCAAAATGAAACATACGTGTATATGCTCTTGCCGATATTTTTATTYATTTAAAAATAAACCAGTGTAAAAGACTTTCATATCTTCATTTGGGTGGATTCCTTTTCTGCATTATTGAAATGGCTTAATTTTTTTCAAACAGGACCCCAAATAAATTTGAGTGAAGCCCCTTTTGTGTTTCCCAGTGAATCCTCCCTTTTATAAGCAGAGGCTTCTCTCTCTCTCTCTCTCTCTCTCTCTCTCTCTCTCTCTCTCTCTCTCTCTCTGACATTTGAGCTGTATTCCAAGTCACAGACAACTGTGTCAAAAATGGTCCTTGCTTATTTGACTTGAAAAACAAAAAAAAGGCTTAGAAATGACAAGCACGGTGGGTAAATCTTGAGGGAATGACAGTTTTCTTCTCTTCCTCCTCCTTTTCCTCCTCCTACCCCTTTCAGATCCCTTGTTGCCTGTTATATTAACTAAAATAACTTGCTTGAATGGTATCCTTTTAATGATTCCTAACTTTCTAAAGAGTTACTTGACAGTTATGCATCGGTGCCCACAAACTTCCCTCTGAATTATAWCACAATGCAGTCTGTTTTCTCACCAAAACTACCAAACCATCCTCTGGCCCGTGTGCGAACTTGTCTCACCAAATCTAGTCCTAATTCTGAAGCGACACCACATCTCTCACTTGGTGTTACGATGCTCTCTGCTGATATAATGACCACAGAGGCCTCCCTACCTCTTTCCCCAGCATCTCTGATTTTGTTCACCTTGGTAGAAMGACACTAGCAGTTGCTGTCCTTAGGAAGCATTAATTCTCACTGTTATCAGAATTGCTCATGTTAAAATGATGGGGGTATGGAATAAGGTGCTGATAACCTCTCTCATGTCATGAATCACCAATATTTATATCTCCTCTAAACATTCTGCTCTCATTTACCTACGGGGCTTTACACACTCACGGATTCAACAAATATGGATCCAGTGCCCTCTTCATACCAGGTACTGTGCCAACATATGGAATATAYTAGTGGACAAACCAGAGACCCCTGCTCTCAGGGAAAGAGACCATCAGCTCAACATGTAAACACATAAATTACATGGCACCTGGTAGACAGTAATTCCTATGGGGAAAAAAGTGAATTTGGTCAGTGTAAAGGAGTTGTAGAGTGTATGCAGGGCAGGGGCCTGCTTCAGCCTGGGCCACATGACCCTCTCCTCACTCTGATAAGTTTCCAAGACTCAACATAGGTGGGACCTTCTTCAAATCCTTTGTCCTGC